CAAATTCTCTGCAACACTTCAGCAGTTTTTCTGCAATTCCAAACAACATGAAATGGTCCGATTGACCACCCGTAACTCACCTGAGGCCCTCAGGACCTCAACCAAAGGAACAAACATATCCCAAAACCTTATTCAAACTTGTACAAATCTTTAAAACACCTCAAACAACATCAAATCAACCAAAACACATCAGATTCAAGCCTAAGTTTCCAAAATCTTCCGAATTCCGCTTTTGATCAAAAACCTAACCAAACCATGTCTGAATGGCCTAAAATTTTGCACACACATCCCAAATGACACAACAGAGCTACTGCAACTCTCGGAATTCCATTCTGACCCCTATATCAAAATCTCTCCTACCAACCAGAAATCGCCAAAATATCAACTTCGCCAATTCAAGCCTAAATCTATTCCGAACCTCCAAAACTCATTTCGATCGCGCTCCTAAGTCCTAAATCACCTACCGAAGCTATCCGACCCATCAGAATTCACATCTGAGCCCTCTAACACATAAGTCAACCTCCGATTGACTTTTCCAACTTAAGCTTCCTCAAAAGAGACTAAGTGTCTCAAACCTTACCAAAATTATTCTGGATTGGATCCTATCGACCCGATACCACATAACACGAATAAAAAAGCATAAAGAAGCAGAAATGAGGGAAGCTGAGTGGTAACTCATGAGACGACTAGCCGGGTCATCACAAACATTAAGGTGAATCAATAGTGGATGGACAAAAGTCACAAAGTATGAGGTGAGATTAGGCTGTCGTTCTTAAAATGAACAAGTAATGAGGAAACATTAAAGGACTTAGATTTATACATATGAGATAAGCAACGAAAGTAACCTGGAGTTCAATAGCAGACCTCAGTAATGATATATTAAAATAAGAGTTACGGTATAGTATAACCTACCTTGTTGCAGTAAAGTCATAGAGATAGATAATCAGAGCTATGAAACAAGATATAGTAATATTTGCAAGTTCAACAAAGTACCAAGCGAAGAACTTCAGTATACCTATAGATGCCAGAGGGACATTTTATCAAGCTTTGTATATATTTACAAAGTGAGGCCTAGATATTGGCTAAAAGCTGGAGGAAAAAGGAGAGAAGAGTCGCATAGACACACTTACAGAGTCAGAGTCGTACATGCTACATGATAAAAGGCAGAAATAGTTACAAGATTGGAAGGATTCCGACCACAAATCATGGTGTGGGAAAGAGGCCTAAAGGAGGGAATGCCCTAGCCTTTGGATTTATTCACAGGACAGTTGTGTAGATGGCAAAGAGAGTACTAAAGTATTCGAAAGACATCAATTATGAAAATAATAAGAGCATCAGTCAACATTCAAGGGCGAATGTTCCAAAGGGGGGAATGATGTTACACCCCATATTTTTGTACATGAAAGTATGCCACAAGTGAATTGATGAAAGCTCGAAATGAGATGTTACATTCCGCATTTTCGGACATTAAGGTTTTGACGTAAAGTTAATTGACGCAAGCTCGGGAATGAGATTATCTTGAGGTTACAAGTATTATGCTATTTCAAACAATGGATAAGTAAATTCGTGAAGGTGAGGGGGTAAGCAAATGGAAAAAAATGAGTTTCGTCGAAGCTTGACAATTTGGGATAAAATACAGTCCGAGCGATAATACCCGGTATTTATGGACTAGTGTCATACAAGGTACTATATGACCATGATAGTAAGGTGTACAAGGTATGTTAAAAGTGAGTAGTATTTTAAGTAAGTTGAGATAATTCTTAATTATGTGGGTTATTGGCTAATTATTGGGTAATGGATATTACCTAATTAATTAGGGATATATTAGATAAAAATTAAATAGCATGATGTGGCAGCCCCATATTCAAAGTAAATGACTCACAATCTTGATTGAAAGGTGGCATACATATAACACTTACGTATAAGACATTTAATAAGTTTGGTAAGTTTGATCAAGTAAGAAATGACATAACCTTTTTCCTAATTTAGACATTTGTCAAAATAGGCGTTAGAACCCCCCCCCCCCCCCCCCCCCC